GTTCGTTCCGATACTGAGGTTGCTGTCATTAACTAACAATGCTGTCACTCTTCCACCTATATAATTTTTATCCACCAATTCTGTTTTGAAGTTAGCATAGTTTAAATGTTCGGTGTTAATGGGTGTTTTATTAATTATATCCGGTGTATATTCCGGTTCCGACGGAAAGATCGAATATAACCAATCAGGATGTGCTGAACAAGAATGTGTATACGCTGGTATTTGACGGGTAGTCGTCTCCGATGGGATGTATAAAAGATCATATCTGTAGCGTTCATTAAAACTGTACAATCTTGAATTATCGAATGTTCTTAAATCCGATATCAATCGTTCATTCATTCTATAAAATATGTGATTTGTTTTGTATATTCTCTATGTAATTTGTATGCTAACAAGCGCTTAGCTTTGGTATATGATGTACTTATAACCGACAAACAAATATTCATGGACGGGATTAGCAGTTGAATGAAATAATCTTCTGGACTTAGCTGACGCTTTTTGATTTTAAATTGTAGGTTATAAGTTTTACAAAATATGATTATACAATTGTATGACCTTTTTCCAAGTAGTTGCTTTCTTTTATTATTTAATCCCGAAGCTACAGTAACTAGTTCTTCAGGTGTTAGTTTAATGTCTTGCCAAATTCCGTGTATTCTAATTCTATACGGCATTAAACTGTTCTGCTTATGACAATTAAGCAGTTAGTCGATCGTTGCGTACGTCAAGAATTAATGGTTCAGTTATAGCTTCTAAGAAAAACGTATGATCCAACAAAGGTGAGTCCAAAAATGTTGGTAGTAAGTCTACTTTCTCGGTTATCAATGAATAAAACTCGTTTATAAACTGTTTTCTACAATATCTCGGTATTGGAAAATTTAATGGCAAAATGAATATAAGTCCGCGTTTGGTTGCGTTAATAAGTTTGTATAAACTATCCACACAATTGAATACTTTTTCTTTGTTGAAATCAATCAAGTATTTGGAACGTACTTCAAACTGTTTGATCGGCAGATACTTGAAGATGTATAAATAACTTTCGGCAATTTGTTGGTCTTCGTTGAATTTTGATTCGCTCAAACGTTTATTACACTCACGACAATGTAATAGCATAAGATTGTCGTCAACCAAAATATGACAAAAAGGACAGTAAGAATAACAGGTGTTATTCCTCGGTTTCCCGTACGGAAAATATTTCGGACACATACAGTCTATAATAAATAATACTATTTATTAATCCAACACCAATTTTATTATAGGTAATTATTGTAAGATATACAAATATAGGGATATATAAATTATTTATATCGAATAAAGCTATGTTGGCAAACGATAAATCCACTAGGGAACCCATTTATAATTTGTGGCAAAAAGTTCTCACAACGGGTACAACATTTTCCAGTTTGTGGTAAGCGGTTTATTAGCAAATATCCATTGGTTAGTCCGGTGATCATTAAACGGTTTTTATATTTCTGTAGATATGTTATAAAATTCTCCATCTGTACAGTGTACTTAACTGTCATGAACTGCATATCGTAAATGTATATTAGATTACAATCACATACAACCATCATTTCCCCGGCTCCGATGGCTATTTTCCTAACGTGGGACTCTGGTAATCGATAGGTTTGAAATTCCAGCTTTGATTGTAACATAGCTTTAACGTCAAAGCTATAAAGCAGTTGTCCAGTTTCTGACAGTTCAACGCCTACAATCTTCATTTCCCCGATTGTGTATAAATTAAGCGGTTGGTTGTCGAATGATAACAATCTTGTGTGATATATAAGTTCATAGTTGAATGAGTGATTTTCAATATAAACTCTAATCAACGCCACGTTCTCGCCATTTTGTAGGAGTAGGATAAGTCCGTCATTTGGATAGAAGAATCGACGAGCAGATAGTATACTAAAATCTGTTACTCCTGTTGCCAAATATCCAATAATTTCATAAGTGACGTCGTGAATATTGCCGTCATTGATTCGGATTAATCGCCCTCCATAGGTCATCCCTAGTATGCCAAACTCGGTTTTCTGTAGTGAAACTACACGCTCTTCACCGATGTTTGTAATGTTATACGTGTTTGCATTAAAATAGTATATGTTACTATTATCAGTAATTATGTAAATCCCACAGTCGTTGAGTGGAACTATACATGTGACCTCATCAGTTGTCGCTACCATTGATAAACGGAATTGATAGCCGTCGAGACTGTAAACGTATAGATATCCAGTGTTGAGTCCAATGACAATTTCTCTTGACGAGATACCAACAGCTGTAACGTACGTGTCGTATGTGTGCCAATTATCGGTCAATAAAATTTCCGTTGGTGCCATTTTTGGATTTATTGGTGAATATTCGGTGATGACATCAGGTTTAAGTTGTTCCATCCAATGTATATCTACAGGTTTTAACTGATCAGATAACCACCAGTTACCATCCACTGGTGCCCGCAGACCAGTATCCCATGTCTGGGGTAGGTCAGACTCGGTCTTAACTGTTATCTCGTTTTCATAACAGCCGTGAAAATTTTCAACAAATTGAACAATTGGCTCAACACCCGCATTGATATTAGTAATGGTTTCATCACAAGGTTCAGTTTTGATGCGTTTTGGTGATGACTCACCATAAATCGCATCGATATCTGTACTCGAAATAGGTGACGTTCCAGAAAATAGTTCATCAAACCCGAGTGAGTGCATCTCTTCTAATATTTTATTGTTATCGTATGTAGATAATGTAGTGAAGAAGTCGTCCATTTCTTCTTTGCTAAGCGGGGCAAAGTCTGGACTTTCATATGACGTTGAAGGTTGTGGTTCCATACTACGTAGTGATAAATGTATTATAGGCAACGCCCTAAGACATCATGCTCGGACAGGCCTATAATTTATGTTGAATACTGGCTACGCCCAAAGCCATTCGGCTCGGACTCAGCGCCAGTCTCGGGTATCATTTGATCCCTCATCGTTGCTCACCAAATGTAGGGGAAGTGGGTACATTACGGGTATCTAAGTTTGTCTAACCTTCCTTATGTAAACCAAACACTCGGCAATACACCACTTACCTTACGGTTTTGACTCTTTTAGTGATAACTTATAGTAATGCGTGGCTTAGGAACGAGCGGTTTCCTATTTATTCTACTCTGACCAATTAATTCTTTAGCCCAAATAGGTTTTGTCCCCCAATAGGGTCTGTCACCCAAATAGGGTCTGTCACCCAAATAGGGTCTGTCACCCAAATAGGGTCTGTCACCCAAATAGCGTCTGTCACCCAAGTAGGGTCTGTCACCCAAATAGGGTCTGTCACCCAAATAGGGTCTGTCACCCAAATAGGGTCTGTCACCCAAATAGGGTCTGTCACCCAAATAGGGTCTGTCACCCAAATAGGGTCTGTCACCCAAATAGGCTCTGTCACCCAAATAGGCTCTGTCACCCAAGTAGGGTTTCAGATCCGTCTAGGGTTTCAGATCCGTCTAGGGTTTCAGATCCGTCTAGGGTTTCAGATCCGTCTAGGGTTTCAGATCCGTCTAGGGTTTCAGATCCGTCTAGGGTTTCAGTCCCGTCTAGGGTTTCAGATCCGTCTAGGGTTTCAGATCCGTCTAGGGTTTCAGTCCCGTCTAGGGTTTCAGATCCGTGTAGGGATTCAGATCCATCTAGGGTTTCGGATCCGTATAGGGTTACAAGGCCTGGAAGGACCGTGGGCCTGGAAGGACCGTGGGCCTGGAAGGACCGTGGGCCTGGAAGGACCGTGGGCCTGGAAGGACCGTGGGCCTGGAAGTACCGTGGGCCTGGAAGGACCGTGGGCCTGGAAGTACCGTGGGCCTGGAAGGACTGTGGGCCTATAAGGACCGTGGGCCTATAAGGACCGTGGGCCTATAAGGACCGTGGGCCTATAAGGACCGTGGGCCTATAAGGACCGTGGGCCTATAAGGACCGTGGGCCTATAAGGACCGTGGGCCTATAAGGACCGTGGGCCTATAAGGACCGTGGGCCTATAAGGACCGTGGGCCTATAAGGACCGTGGGCCTATAAGGACCGTGGGCCTATAAGGACCGTGGGCCTATAAGGACCGTGGGCCTATAAGGACCGTGGGCCTATAAGGACCGTGGGCCTATAAGGACCGTGGGCCTATAAGGACCGTGGGCCTATAAGGACCGTGGGCCTATAAGGACCGTGGGCCTATAAGGACCGTGGGCCTATAAGGACCGTGGGCCTATAAGGACCGTGGGCCTATAAGGACCGTGGGCCTATAAGGACCGTGGGCCTATAAGGTACACTAAGAGCCGTCCGTTAACGGATACGGGGTCCGGAGTTCTCATAATAAAAATATTTACTTACGTAATAGTTGTTAGCTGTCCGCGTAGTTGTGGATAGGTCCAAAGGCGTCCCTTAAGATGTCCAAACAGTTGATTCGCGATGACAAAGTAAACACACACACAAAGTAATATGCAAATACTTTTATTAATTCACTTTAAAGTAATACACGTAGTATGACTCCAAATGGAGAACTGATTTTGGTGTCTGAGAGACACCTCTATTTATACTAAAGTGTACGTGAGGAGAAAGTGTGTCACATTGAGTCAGGATTTAATCACTATTAAAACTGGGAGTTTACTATTTAATTTTTTCTATAACATTTTAGTGCATTATTTTAACACTCTATTTAACACAAAATATTGGATAAAGTTTCCTTAAAAACAAGGTGTTTACCTTTAGGTTTTTTGTAAAACATTTTAGTGCTGTTATAAATTTTTAACAAATAAAAATAAGAATAATTTTTGAAATAATTTTTCAGAGTATAACAAATAAAATACCCTTACAATATATCCTTGACTTCAATATAAAATTATTTAATGTTGAAATATTAGTGTATATAAGCATTTGTTTATTATAGGGAAAGTTTTCAATAATTTAACTTATGTAATAATTATGTTTTTAATTATTTAAATAAAAACAAAACTATTTTGCTGATTTGACCCACTATTGCAATATCATCGATCAATTAAAATGCGCCCAATAGATGTCTCTACTACTAATGAAAAACTTGTGTATAACAACCTGTTCTCTAAAACTAAATTAACCCCAAACAAAATAAATACTGGTGATAAAGTAAGACGAGTATATGACATGAAAGCATTTGATAAAGGATATTACCCTAGTTGGACAGACCAAATATTTACTGTTGAAAATACTATAAAAGGTGATAAACAGTATGTTTTTAAGCTAAGAGATGAACAGGGAAATATACTTGAGCAGCGCTTTTATCCCCAGGAATTGCAACAAATTACTGATAATCTGTACAGAATTGAAAAAGTTATTAAAAAACGTAAACGCCGTGGAAAAACTGAATACTTTGTAAAGTGGTTAAACTATCCGGAAAGCTATAATAGTTGGACAGATAATATTGAAAATGTTTCGTAACAAAAAAGTTTGTCCATCAGACTTAATATTATTTTCAATACAAGTATTTTTAATAACATTAGTAATTGTCGTTAGTTTAGTTAATCTATCATTTGATTTCGGCAATAAAAATTTGTGGACAATCATATTGACCAGCGCATTGGGATATATATTACCTAATCCAAGATTACGTATTTGCAATAAAGTTATAAAAGATGTCACAAATAACGATTTGTAAAATAATATCTATTTTAATAACTTTATTAATTATTGTTTTAGTTTTAATTATTTTTTTATATAATAATAAAATTCATCAATCCAAGTGGAATTGTACAAAATTAAATTATACTATAATTTGTGAATAAAATGAGTTCATATATTACTTTGAGTTCTAATGTTAGTACCGGTGACAATACATTAAGCGATTTCCGAACTAAATTAGGTGCTGTAATGAAATTTGATCCACAAAATGATTTATTGACAAGTATACCAAAATATACTGATTGGTTAGTTGGTATAACAGAAATATCATATACAAAATCATGGTATAATATTTTAAATGACTATAAAGTATCGTTATATGATGAGATGGGTAATATCTACAATAATGACTCCAATATTTATACAATTAAAGCCGGTTTTTATGAACGACCATCAAATTTAATTAGTGAAATAAACAGTATATTGGCTAAATTTAAAGGAATAGTACCTCCAAAGCTGATATATAATGAAGTAAATAATTACGTTACATTAATATGTGGGAAACTTGAAGACTCTGTTAGAGTATTTGTTAACTTGGGTGATGAGATTGAATGTTTGTTAGGACTTAAAAATAGAAATAATTACTATAATTATTATAATACTGAAAATGCAATTAATGATTATACAGTTAATAATGTATATACAAATGATGAAGTGAAAGCTCATCATCCAGTAGAAATATCTGGTGGATATCATTTATTATACTTATACACTGATATTGTATATCCATCTCTTGTTGGTGACACATTTGCACCATTGCTACGTGTAGTTGAAATACCACGTAAATCTAAATTTGGTGATACAGTGCACTTAAATTATGAGACACCACAATACAGACCCGTTAGACTAAATCAATTTGACACAATTAAAATCTATATAAGAGACGACAGTGGAAGACCTATACCATTTAAATTCGGTAGAGTTACATTGACTTTACATATTAAAAAAGTATAAAAGATGGATAACCCATACATTGATTATTATAAATCGCAAGCCGGTAACGGTATAGTAGTATATAGTGGTCACAGATATCAAGGTGGTAATGGTATATTTGGTAAAATTTTTAAACACATACAACCAGCACTAAAATATATAGCAAAACAAGGTTGGGAAGCATTTCAAGGTATAGGTAGTGAAGTATTAAGAGGTAAATCACTAGGTGACGCCAGTAAAAACCAATTACTTAAAACTGCTGATACAGTACTCAGTGACGTAAGTGATAAACTCAGTACAATGAAGCGTCAAAGAGGTATGGGTATTAGAAGAAGAAGACGCAAGCGCAGAATAAATAAATCTAAACGTAAAGTCACTAAAAAAGTATATAAAAGACGTAAACGTAGTCGTAAATCAGGAAGAAAACCAACACTAATATAATGACTACTATTCATCCATTGTCGTCTTTAATGACTTTACCGGAGTTGGATATATTTGGTGTCCCTCCAACTCAATTAATGATTGAAAAAGATATACAAACAGATCACAGACCGCTAACTACAATAAAAGCTGATTCACCCATTGAATTTGAAATAACTACTGGAATCAATGAATATATCAATTTAAATAAATCTGAATTGTACCTATGTTTGCAAATTGAGTTAACTAAAACTGAATCACCCGATATTACGGCTGACGATTGGAAAAAAATATCACCCGTTAATTATTTATTAAACTCATTTATAAAACAAATAGATGTAAAAATAGGTCAAACAACTATCACCAGTTCATCTATTAATTATCCATATATTGCTTATTTTGATGCATTACTTAATACATCTTCTCAATCAAAGTCAACACATATGCAAACATCAATGTGGGTTAAAGATAGTTACCCATTTAATGATCATAACTTAGAGCGACAAAAACGGTTATCACCAAAAGGTAAAAAACTAGCAGTTAGCCGTCATATTGAATTGTATGGAAAATTACATTTGGATTTATCTCAACAATTAAAATCACTAATAGGTGGTGTAACTATTAATATAAAAATACATCCAAACTCTCCCGATTTCTACTTAATGTATGATAAATCTATTGTTCCAAAAGTTAACATTATAGATACTAGACTTTATATTCATCGGTCAATTGTTCATTCACAAGTAGTACTAGCACATAATAAAATGCTTGAAGAAGATAAACCTGCACTATATTTTATTACCCGCCGTGAAGTAAAAACATGTACTATACCAAAGGATAGTATTGATTATTGTTTGAATAATGTTGAGAGTGGTGTTCTACCTAGGAAGCTGTATATATCATTTGTTAGTAATGATGCTTATAACGGCTCTCAAACACTTAATCCATTTTATTTTAAACACTATAGTTTACGGCATATTGCTTGTTATTTAAATGGTCAACAGTACCCGCATAAACCGTATACACCTGACTTTCAAAATGATAAATATATTAGAGAATACTTTAGTTTATTTGAAGTTAGTAATCAGCTGAGCCATACTACTTGTGACATTACAAAAGATGAATTTGCCGAAGGTTTTTCAATATTTGCATTTAATTTCATACCTGACCTATCAGATGGCGTTGCAAAAAGTGGTTATGTATCTCCATTACAAAGAGGTGGACTTAGAATTGAATTAAAATTTAATTACCCTTTAGCCGAACAAATAACTGCTTTAATATATTGTGAATACGATAGTTTAATTGAAATACAGAAAAACCGATTTGCTGTTAAAGACTTTTCATGAATACATTAGAAATAAATAAATATTTTCGTAGCTGTATCAAGTATTATGGCACCTATCCTAGAGATGAATTACCTAATACTATACCTAATAACAGTGGATTAATTGTAAATACAGATAAAGCTAATCAACCAGGAGAACATTGGGTTGCAATATATAAATATAATAACAGTGTAGTTTATTTTGATTCATTTGGCTTACCCCCACTACACAAAGAAATCATAAACTTTATAAAAGACAACAGTAGTAGTGGTTGGTTCTATAACACTATTAATTTTCAAAGTGTATACTCAACTACATGTGGAAAATATTGTGTATTTTTTCTATCAAATTATTTCAATGGCGCGAACTTTGATAACTTTTGTAAAATATTTACTTTCAGTAGTGATATTAATGATAAGTTGGCAGATATGTTATACAGATGGCAGCTGTAGCTTATCACATTTGTATAAAGATATACGTCAGTATAGAGTGGTTTATAAACAAATGGAGAAACTATATGACGAAAAACTATTGATAGTTTTGAGTGACGCAAATCTACACGCGCCATATTTGGTTGAACCGTCAACATATTTTTCAAAGGAAATTAAAAAATACTTTATAGAAGAAGGCAAGCAATTAAATGATATAAAAGACTTGGAAGAGTTGCTAAAATTGCTAAACTACTTAAACTTTAGTAATTTTCGTACGGAAAGACATAATTTTTTAGTAAGTAATGGAAAAAATTAATCAAATATGCGGTGTTATGGATGCACAGGGTTTCACTGTTGATGGCGTGTTTTATCCGCGGGAAGTATGTGTGTTATCACATACACTTAAACAGTGTGAACTGTGTGACACAGACCTTCGCTTTGTTGATATGGACCTTAAAGACCGTATAACTAATTTATATTTGGCTAACAATCTGTTTGGCTTTTCATTGAGAGCCCACAACACCGATATCACTCACAACTCATCTCTCGAACCTAATCAAGTGATATATATGATGTATCATAAAATTAAATCACACGATAAACCATATTTGGCCATAAAAAACCAACAATTGGCAATTATATTGGACTTATGGAAAATACCGTATATTAATCTCAATGAATACAAATGTCCCAACTATTCAAAACTTAAACAATTTTATGGTGGTCTCCCGTGTCATTTTCACAATAGAATTGTTCCCGATCGAAAACTCCTGCGCTGCGCTTCAAATAAATGCAATTTATTATGGAAATGGCTAAATAATTATTATCAATCACATTAATTTTTTTATTCAATAAATTTATTTATGTAATTACAATATTGTCTTTAATTAATTTAGTATAAGTATATATAATTAAATTATTTTTACAGTATTTATTCAATGGAGGTCCAAACATTGATACAGTAATTGTTTTGTCGGGGTAAGTCTCAGCTTTAAGTACCAATAAATACAATAATCGTTGATTAAACCCGTATTCCATTAAAACGTATGTGGTTATATTTGGTTTCATTATTAGCGGCTTTAGATATTTGTCAACATTTAAATATATGTTTATACTTGTGTTGAGTATAACGGTTTCACAAATATCCATCATTTTTGTCTTAAATATATTTATACAAAACGGCTCTAGCATTCTGTGAGCAATAAATAATTTAAATTTTCTAACATAAAGACATTTGAATCCTGAGTTGACAAAATCAAACGGTGACAAGAAGTGTCCTTTTATGAAAAGCATTTTCAATGAGTACCGAACCATCTTATAATCGTCATACATCTCAATATTGTGTGATGAATTTAATGTAAACTGAATTTTATTTGGTGTAGTAGGCATAACATTGTACAGTTCTATGGCGTTGTAAAAGTCGACAAAATTCAATCTTAAATTAGTGATATTTTGATTATTTATAATTGACTTCCAATTTCCTTGACATAACTTTTGATCCACACTGAGAACTTTTAGTTGAGGTAGAGTCGCCAAATGGTTACATACAGTATTTCTATCAACTGATCCACCTACGTGTAATTCAATGGCTTTAGAACCGAATTTATTAATAAACTCAATAAACTGATTCATATTCTTGAAATTAATTGTG